TGGGCTGTATTGCCAACATCTGTGGTTTCATAATTACACGCAATCAAGTCATTACTTCGTTATTTCCTACCAAAAACTGGTCATAAATGCCTGGGAAAACACAAACAGTAATGAATCTCCATCGCCACAGTGCAGACGGGTGTTGTTGCCAAATACGGACTGAACAAATAACACCTATAGCTCCATAACTAAAGAACATAACATACTACAATCATGTATTAACTGCTGTAGGTTGTTCAGACGTTATTTGATAAGCTCGACCGTCTAGCTATAGGGAGAAGGAGGCGATCTTATCATATGTGAGCTGAACAAGCAACACCCGCGGCTTTGAACCTGCATGAATCATGTTATTACTTAAAGCTACTTACTGCGTCATCCGCCTCACCTGCCACGTCACTCACCTGCAGGAAGAAGAGATATACATTAATCCTCAAGAATATTAGGCAATATTCTAATAACAATACCGTGAAAAATCCAAATATTATCATACTTTACTGAAATATTTTAACAATATTTCTAAATGTCAACGTTTACTAAATAAATGTGGAAAACAATATTAATCTTTCCCCTACCAAACAACTGAGAGGAATCATAACAGGTATATTATTGATCATTTTCCCCCCAACATCTCCGCCAGAGGACAGCAAACACAGGGAAAATATTGTATCTCTACCCCATGTTCCTCATTAAGTACACACCGAACCTAAGTAAATATTCAGGTAAACACATATTAAGACATTTAGCAGTGTATAGTAGAGGAATGTTTGGCTGTATACGGGACGATACGGGAAAGAGAACGCTCCGTATAGTTCCCAAATACTCTTCTCACTTCAAGACGAATATAAGACGTTTGGTTTGGGCCAGGGTGGTTTGGACCGGACCTAACCCAACCTCAACACACTAGGTACCACGGAAGGGGAGATGGTTACTATGACTCCTTGGTGACGCATTACCTCACAATTATCATCACACTGGTCGGCGGGGAAGGCTCTTGGCTCTTACACATCCGTCATCCATTGTTACCATCTTTAAGGCTGTATTTGTCATGAATTATGGTTGGAAATTTTTGGGACGAATTGAGATAACAGTCCCATAATTATAAAACAGATACTCGTACACACACACACACATAGAGAGAGAGAGAGAGAGAATGTGTGTGTGTGTGTGTGTGTAATCTTTCGGTATAATCCAACATGGCGGCGACTCAGGAGGAAGTAACAAAAAGAAACAAAACAGGAAGAAAAAAGTGAACGAAAAATACGCAACAAAGAACATCAACACTAACGACATCCACAATAACTGATAACTATACCAGCAGGACACACACACACACACAAGATTATTCTCTCCCCTTCCTACTCCACATATCAAGAAGCGCTCAACACACTGACCCTCTCGGCTCTCACTGACCATCACCACGACCTAATCTGCAAATTTGGTAAGAAGCTTCTACACCATCCTCGAAACCGGCTCCTACTACCACCTGAGATCCCTAGCCCGAGAATTGCTGTTCGACACCTCAACCGCATCCAGCCCATACGTGCACGAACTGATCGCTATAAGAACAGCCCAGTCCCAACCACTGTTAAAATAATCAATAACTTGTAATAAACCAGTGTATTCACTCCCAGTAAATACTACTTCTTACACTGTCACTATGTTGAAATGCCCTGTAGTTTGAGCTTTTCCCATGTAGTTATTATACTGTATATCTTATTTGTATCACTTACGTTATTTGTATATTATTTGTAAATCGAAATCCATTCCCCAATTATGTAACTGTATATTTTCAGCCTTCTGGCTGCCAAGCTCTTCCAATAAACCGTTAATTATTATTATTATTATTATTATTATTATTATTATTATTATTATTATTATTATTACACACACACACACACACACATCAGAATGTTTGTGCTAAGTTTCAGAACCGTTCATGGGAAGCTATAGGTTAGGTTAGGTTATTTAACAGTGAACACCACAATACCGGGGAGGAGACAGAAGGAAAGACGAAACAAACAAACACACGGACGAACAGAATAAACACTCCTAGACGGGGGACATAACAATGACTTACAATAACCTAACAACATATCACAATAAGCTAATACAATAATGAGATAATAACCCACACAATGCACCAGTAACACAACGAGATGGAACTACTGGCACGAGACGACACACGGTGACGGGGTATTGTTTACATAAGGCAGGAACATACATCTAAAAATACGCAGCTGTGAAATGTTTAGATTGGTGTACTTGATCCTCTTGCATTTTAAATTGTTGGTGACTTTGCCAGTGAACTCCAGTCCTAACCTAACCTAACCTAACCTAACCTAACCTAACCTAACCTAACCTAACCGAAGTCGCAGCTGGTCGTAATCCTCGTACTTTAGTTTAGGTTCGGCTGAGGCTATTGACCGTCAACTGAGTGTCGGCGTGATATATGACAAGGCGTGATAGTACAGTAAGCAGAATTGTTCTACCGATTATAATCCGCCCAATTTTGGCTTCATTATCAACCATTTGATAAAAAAAAAAGTGGCGTTCTCATTTGGCAACCGACAACCAATCAAAACTTCACGAACTGCAACTGTCACTACGGAAACCAAAAGACGACAAGCCAATTTTACAATTCTACCACAAAACAACAATTGCCCTCAAGTCAACAGTGTTTATGTTCACTCTTACTTTACTGTCTTCAGGTTATCTTGTTTATTATTGTTCTGTGTCTGCCACCAATCGTTCCTCTTTGTTGACACTCTCTCTACGTTACCTACAGTGGCTTCATAACCAACACAAACATCAATGCCCAGTACAAAACATTACCCATATAAGTAATCCTATCCCCTCAAAATACAGAAATGAAGAAAACCGTAACTAAATACAAAAAAGTGCATAAAATCGGCAAAAGTAAAACAAAACTACAATAAAATCCCAACATAAATACTAGAAAGTGGACAAAATTCTACCCACAAGCTTAACTCAGCAAGTTTCTCTTTTTAATGGTAAGGTTGACTCAGGTATCATAAGGTTAGGTTAAGTTAGCTCGTGTGTTACAACCTCATGCCGCAGACGAGGATTAGATTCCCTTATACGAGTTAGAGGCAACGTTATGCAAACTACAGGGTGATGAAGAGATTGTCACAGCTGCTTAGTAACGAATGTTGTAACAGGTGGGTGTGTTGTAACAGGTGAGTGTGTTGTAACAGGTGGGTGTGTTGTAACAGGTGGGTGTGTTGTAACAGGTGGGTGTGTTGTAACAGGTGGGTGAGTTGTAACAGGTGGGTGTGTTGTAACAGGTGGGTGTGTTGTAACAGGTGGGTGTGTTGTAACAGGTGGGTGAGTTGTAACAGGTGGGTGTGCTGTAACAGGTGGGTGTGTTGTAACAGGTGGGTGTGTGTGGGTCATTACCGGGTGGTGATGTCAGTAGTGTCAGACAAAGTGGGTGACACTCACAGGGGGAGGGCTGATAACCCCCTCTTACCCTCGTCATGCCCAGGGAATCCCCACAGCCCACCCTGCCCGCCCTCCCCACATTACTCTCAACACAGGGAAAACCCACCTAACCCATTCTCCCACCCACACTACCCGTAATAATAAAAATGACGGTGGTAGGCAAATTATACCTGAATTAGCTTCACCTAACGCGATACCTGAGATGGTGGCACTTGGTCAACTATATGGCCCACTACTGGTTAAGTGATGTTAAGTACATACTGCCCGTATATATATACAGTACACGTGTTAATTAACAACTCTGACAGCAAAAAATAATATATATTAGAAAGGGTGATTTAGAGGTCCTTTTTCATCGACGGTATTTCTACAAGGGGGACAGTATAGGAACCCTGGTAATAAACGTGCCTTGCTGTGTAGTGTTGGTAGTGCGCTTCCCATAGTCACCCTGAGCCTAAAGCGTGCGATCTAACCCCCACAGGTCTACATCGTCTCTCACAGCACAAGTTGATGGTGAGAGAAGGGAGGACTAGGTGAGGGAGTTGTGGTGACGGCCAGCATTATCTTCAGCTGGCGGGTCGTTACTATAAATGTACATCCTAAGGGTGATACCACGGTGTTACAGCTGACACTAGAGCACAGTGCACCTTCACCGCCCACCCCACACCACCCCCCACCCCTACACCTCCTCCAGCATCATCGGGTGAGAACCCAGGTGTAGAAATTTATCCTTCCAGGTGAAGTATTTCTGGGTGTGAGTTTATGTTCACAGTGAGCCGCATACCCCAACTAGAGCACCACCCTCCCTCACTGAGACAGACAGACAGATATATATATATATATATATATATATATATATATATATATATATATATATATATATATATATATATATATATATATATATATATATATATATATATATATATATATATATATATATATATATATCAATTTCTTTTTATTTATTTTTAAGATTAGCCCAGGCACAGGTCACTGACCCACATCAGGGTCTGGGGGGCTAATAATATAATAATAATAATAATAATAATAATAATAATAATAATAATAATAATAATAATAATAATAATTCAAAGTAAATATAAATTTTAATAAAAATACAAAATATAAAAATAAAATAGTAAAATAATAATAATAATAATAATAATAATGATAATAATAATAATAATAAAGAACCATAAAGAAATACAAAAATGAAAGAGAGATCAAAAGTGAGAAACAATATATGTATGTTGTGTTGTCAATAGTAAGAGAAACAATTGAGACCCTGCAATTGTGTGTAAATGGTGCAGAAAGTCAGATCAACAACCTGGGACTTGGTCACAATTTTTGTTATGCCATATGGCAGCAGGGTCTACCATTAGACAACACATTATGCTTCCAATATCTTCCTAAACCTTACCTCAAGATCCTACCTCAACCTTATCTAAAATACCTTAAACTTATCTAAGTCATTTCAGTTTAAAGTAACAAAAAGGACTCCTCTAGGCAGCCCCCAGAAGTAGTAGCGGCCTTACCTTGAAACGCCGCTCTGAATTCGCCTTCCTGAACGGGTGTTTGTGGGCGTGCTCCTGTCTGTTGTGGGCGTGGTCTGGTTTGTTGTGGGTGGGCTCAAGCGCCGGCACGGGAGCTGAGGGTGACGTTACGCGCTCCACTCGGCCTTGACTCAGTTTCCGTAGAGGGGGCGGCAACCATTTTCGACTGTAAGGGAAGAGAGAGAACAAGTATTTTAGTGTAACGAGATGGTGACCTGATGATGATATAGTAACTGCTGAGGGTGTTATAGTGAGTATGCTGGAGGTGTTATAGTGAGTATGCTGGAGGTGTTATAGTGAGTATGCTGGAGGTGTTATAGTGAGTATGCTGGAGGTGTTATAGTGAGTATGCTGAGGGTATTATAGCGAATATGCTGGAGGTGTTATAGTGAGTATGCTGAGGGTATTATAGTGAGTATGCTGGAGGTGTTATAGTGAGTATGCTGGAGGTGTTATAGTAAGTATGCTGAGGGCATTATAGTGAGTATCCTGGAGGTGTTATAGTGAGTATGCTGGAGGTGTTATAGTGAGTATGCTGGGGGTGTTATAGTGAGTATGCTGGAGGTGTTATAGTGAGTATGCTGGAGGTGTTATAGTGAGTATGCTGGAGGTGTTATAGTGAGGTGTTATAGTGAGTATGCTGGAGGTGTTATAGTGAGTATGCTGGAGGTGTTATAGTGAGTATGCTGGAGGTGTTATAGTGAGTATGCTGGAGGTGTTATAGTGAGTATGGTGGAGGTGTTATAGTGAGTATGCTGGAGGTGTTATAGTGAGTATGCTGGGGGTATTTCAGTGAGACCTATTAACCAGAAGGAGTCAGTTACAGGCCTACTCATGCCACCAGTTAAGGGAACATATGTATTAAATCGTGTGGTGCTCCTCCTCCAAGCGTTACGATGTGGAGTAATTGACTCCCAGGTGGGGGGGTCCATTTGGCACTTTTTCAGGTTTGTCTAAGACTAAAAAGCGTGGGTGTACAAGAAACGTTTGTTGTATAGCAGACGTGGGTGTATAATAAAACGTGTGTATAATAAGCGTTTGTCTACAAGAAAGGTGGTAGGATAGATGTTTGTGTAGAGTAAACAATGATGGATAATAAATGTTTAATAGTGTACGAATAAACGTGGGTGGATGGTAAACGTTATAGTGTAATATGATCCACCACTGGACACACACACACACACACACAATTGATACCATTAATTAAGGATCTCTCACAATCACCGCGTTATCAGAGTCAATATTAGTATTTCGGGTATCAGTACTTCGCATGGTGCGTATGGGGTGAGGAGGAGGAGGAGGAGGAGGAGGAGGAGGAGGAGGAGGAGGGAAGGGGAGGAGGCAAGGCAGGAGGGACGGGAGGGCAGGAGGGGAGGGAAATGGGAGAGGGAGAGGAGGGGGGAGGGGAAAGGAGGAAGGGGGGGGGAAAGGAGGAGGGGGAAGGAGGGGGGGGGGGAAGGGAGGAGGGGGGGAAAGGGAGGAGGGGGAAAGGAGGAGGGGGAAAGGAGGAGGGGGGAGGGAAAGGAGGAGAGGGAGGGAAAGGAGGAGGGGGAGGGAAAGGAGGAGGAGACGTTGCAAGAAAGGGGAAGGAAGAGAGGAGGCGAGAAACGAGGAAGAAAACATGGGGCCGTAGACACTAGCTATGATAATATTGGGAAAAAGTGAAAACTCAGACTTGGAATCTAAAGGCTATACGGTGGTAGGAAGCTTCCGAATCTACTTTAGTTATCCTCTTTGTATAGAAAACTCGCCAGGCGGGCTCCATTTTTCTTATTCACATGGCAGACAATTGTAAAACCGATACACTATTTTCTGTTAAGTGATCCAAATTCCTCATCTTATCAACATTAGTTTTGAGTCCCATAGATAATGTTGATTAGAGAATACTTGAAACATCTCAAGACTTTTTTATATAATTTCACCTCAAGATTAAATACCCTAACCTAACCTAACCTAACCTAACCTAACGCTAACCTAACCTAACCCTAACCTAACCTAGCCTAACGCTAACCTAACCTAACCTAACCTAACGCTAACCTAACCTAACCTAACCTCATCCCCCAAATAGTGATAGGGTGGTTAGGTTAATCTTGAGGTGAAATAAGTTGGGTTAGGTTAGGTTGAGATTCTTCAGGTAATCCATAACTTCCCGTGAACCTCTTGAGTCAGTACTGGCGTCTTCCCCTGCTCTCCTTGCCACCCTCCCCTGTCTCCTTGCCACCGTCCTCCCTGCCACCCTCCCCTGTTCTCCTTGCCACCCTCCCCCCCCCCCTGTTTTTTCTTTCTGTTTTTCTTGCCACCCTCCCCGTGTTCTCCCTGTTCTCCTTGCCACCCTCCCCCTGTTCTTCTCACCCTTGCCACCCTCCCCTGTTCTCTCCTGCCACCCTCCCCCCTGTTCTCCTGCCACCCTCCCCCTGTTCTCCTCTTGCCACCCTCCCCCCCTGTTCCTCCTCCTTGCCATCCCCTCCCCTGTTCCTTGCCACCGTCCTCCCTGGGTCACCCTCCCCTGTTCTCCTTGCCACCCTCCCCCTGTCTCCTTGCCACCCTCCTCCTGTCACCCCTCCTCCCTGTTCTTGCCACTCCTCCCCTGTTCTCCTTGCCACCCTCCCCTGTTCTCCCTCCTTGCCACCTCCCTGCCTCCTTGCCACCCTCTGTTCTCCTTGCCACCCTCCCCCCTGTTCTCCCTACACCCTCCCCCTGTCCTCCACCTGTCACCCTCCTGTCTCCCCACCCCCTGTTCTCCTTACACCCCCTGTTCCTCCTTGCCACCTCCTGTCTCCTCCCTGTCCCTCCCCTGTTCTCCTTGCCACCCTCCCCCTGTTCTCCTTGCCATCCCTCCCCTGTTCTCCTGTCACCCTCCCCCTGTTCTCCTTGCCATCCTCCCCTGTTCTCCCACCCCTCCCCTGTTCTCCTACATCCCTCCCTTGCTCCCTCCTCCCTGTCACCTTCCCCTGTTCTCCTTGCCACCCTCCCCTGTCTCCCTTGCCACTGTCCTCCTGGTGCCACCCTCCCTCCCTTGCCACCCTCCCCGTTCTCCTTGCCACCTCCCTGTTCTCCTTGCCACCCCCCCCTGCTCTCTCGCCCCCTCCCCCTGTCCCTCCTCTTACACCCTCCCCTGTTCTCCCACACTCCTTGCCACCCTCCCTGTTCTCCTTTGCCACCCTCCCTGTTCTCCTCACACCCTCCCCTGTTCTCCTTGCCACCTCCCCCCTACACCTTTCCCCCTGTTCTCCTTGCCACCTCCCTGTTCTCCTTTAAGCACCCTCCCCCTGTTCTGCCACCCCCCTGTTCTTTGCCACCTGCCACCCCCCCTGTTCTCCTCCCCTGTTCTTGCCACCACCCTCCCCCCTGTTCTCCCTACACCCCTGTTCTCCTACACCCTCCCTGTTCTTGCCACCCTCCCCTGTTCTCCCTCTCCTTGCCACCCTCCCCTGTTCTCCTTGCCACCCTCCCCCCTGCTCCTGCTCCTCCCCCTGTTCTTTGCCACCCTCCCCCTGTTCTCCTCCTTCCCCCTGTCTCTCCTTGCCACCATCCCCTGTTCTCCTTGCCACCCTCCCCTGTTCTCCTTGCCACCCTCCCTGTTCTCCTGCCACCCCCCCCTGTCTCTCCCCCTCCCTTGCCACCTCCCCCCTGTTCTCTTGCCACCCCCTGTTCTCCCTGTACACCCTCCCCCCCCTGTTCTCCCCTACACCCTCCTCCCCCCTGTTCCTCCCCTCTCCCCTGTTCTCCTTGCCACCCCTCCCCTGTTCTCCCTACACCCTCTGTTCTCCCCTGCCACCTCCTTGCCACCCTCCCTGTTCTCCTTGCACACCCTCCCCTGTTCTCTCCTTGCCACCCTCCCTGTTCCTTCCTTGTTCTCCTCTTGCACACCTCCCCTGTTCTCCCTACACCTCCTGCCACCCTCCCCCTGTTCTCTTGCCACCCTCCCCCCCCTGTCTCTCTTGCCACCCTCCCCTGTTCTCCTTGCCACCTCTGTTCTCCTTGCCACCCTACACCCCTCCCCTGTTCTCCTTGCCACCCTCCCCTGTTCTCCTTGCCACCCTCCCCCCTGTTCTCCTTTGCCACCCTCCCCCTGCCACCTCCCCCTGTTCTCTGCCACCTGTTCTCTTGCCACCTCCCTGTTCTCTTGCCACACCTCCCCTGTTCTCCCTTGCCCCTCCCCCTGTTCCCTACACCTCCCTGTTCTTGCCACACCCTCCCCTGTTCTCTCAAGCACCTCCCCTGTTCTCCTCTTGCACACCCTCCCCTGTTCTCTAAGCACCCCCCTGTTCTCCTCTTGCCACCCTCCCCCTGTTCCCCCCCTGCCCCCTTCCTTGCCACCTCCCTGTGCCACCCTCCCCTGTTCTCTTGCCATGCCCTCCCCTGTTCTCCTTGCCACCTCCCCCCTGTTCTTTACACCCTCCCTGAGCCCTTCCCATACACTCTCCCCTCAGCCCTCTCCTTGCCACCTCTATGTCCTTGGCAGAGTCCAATCGGCACGATGCCAGGAGAAGGTGGAGGAGGGGTAAGCGGGGAAGGGGGGATATTTAAGTCCTAAGGCAACGTTGTGTGGGGAGAGAGGATCAACTGGGGGTCAAAATACAAACTATTTCTTACAAGTCGGTAATTCTTCCAATGAGGTAGTATTTCCAAGTGGGTATATTTTAACGGCTGGTATTTAACCCATTAATCTCTGTATTTTAACCTTCATGTGACGGCATTTTTCCTACTTGAATGGCGGTATTTTTACCCTTTATTGGGAATTATGTTTTTACACGAGAGAGAGAGAGAGAGAGAGAGAGAGAGAGAGAGAGAGAGAGAGAGAGAGAGAGAGAGAGAGAGAGAGAGAGAGAGAGAGAGAGAGAGAGAGAGAGAGAGAGAGAGAGAGAGAGAGAGAGAGAGAGAGAGAGAGAGAGAGAGAGAGAGAGAGAGAGAGAGAGAGAGAGAGAGAGAGAGAGAGAGAGAGAGAGAGAGAGAGAGAGAGAGAGAGAGAGAGAGAGAGAGAGAGAGAGAGAGAGAGAGAGAGAGAGAGAGAGAGAGAGAGAGAGAGAGAGAGAGAGAGAGAGAGAGAGAGAGAGAGAGAGAGAGAGAGAGAGAGAGAGAGAGAGAGAGAGAGAGAGAGAGAGAGAGAGAGAGAGAGAGAGAGAGAGAGAGAGAGAGAGAGAGAGAGAGAGAGAGAGAGAGAGAGAGAGAGAGAGAGAGAGAGAGTATTGATTTTTCTACGAGATGGTCTCCAGACTGACAGCCGGGGCGAGATGCTGGTGGCCGAGGAAGAGATGGGTAGGGGCGGACAAGGGAAGGACAAGGGACATGACATGGGGAAGGCATGGGAAATAACATTGGGGTGGACAAGGGAAATGACAGAGAAGACAAGGATATTACAGTTGGACAAGGAAGACGTTAGTTGAAAGACATGGGAGATGACAGAGGCTCCCAGGAGACATGGGAAGGAGTGTCAGCAATAACTGGACATGGAGTTGACAATGATAAGCAATGAGAGTGCTGGAGACGACGATAAGAGGGGGGAATTAGGGTAAAGAGAGGAAGAAAACATACATGGAGGGGAAACGGGATAGGTCAGGGTCAATGAGGGGAAACAGGAGATGTCATGGGGGAAAGGGGGACATGATGAGGGGAATAAGAGAGTCAGAGCGGACAGACATGTTGATAGGATGTCAAGATGGAATCATGACAGGTGTCAAGAGGAAGCTAAGGAGTCATGACAGGCAAGGACCTAGGGGTAGCGGAGGTGTGAATGATGACCTACCTGGAGAAGCCCTTCCGCTTGGTGACGGGGGAGGAGCCTCCACCGGCGGGGGCGGTGCCTCCCGCGCCCTCCCCGCCGCTCCCCGCCACGCCCTCTGTAACAAAATAAACAACAACAGTTAAGGCACAGTAGTGACAACAACTCCATTCTCAGGAGTTGGCAGACTTGCTTAACAATAAAAATTCGTAATAAAACGTAAATCGATGTAAATTTTGAAACGTAATAGAATATAACGTCAAAAACATTTATATTATGATTAAAAATACACAAACATGATAATTAATTCATGGGTCCTAATGAAACCATGACAGATGAGTCGACACAATGCAGTGGCTCACGTCTCCAAGATATTGTACAGGTTAAGCGTGACACAAACACCCCGCACCGTGTGAGTAGGTAAACCTCATAAAACAGTGACGCATTCCACAATTTTATCAAACATGATTTATATCTACAGATAGACTCCCTCACACAAAGAAAACAACAGGAAGACGTAGGAAAAAAAAACATCCCTATCAATATCTCATTTACATATTGTTCACGGTAATGTATTAGAGTCTGGGACACGTTACCCTGAGGATCAACTTAGTATAAATAAACGGCCTAATACACAACATATACACCAGACGCACGTATGAACAGACGTCACTCACGAGGTTGAAACACGAGCCGTAAGAAATTTAGAGAAGCATAAACAGACCACGGAGCTTCATCCATAACATGCTCGGTAAATACATAATGAACAGTAGCTAACTTATTCCCGAGTGACTAGTAGAGTCATGGAGGTCACTCGGTAATTCACGATAAAATATTAATGTGTAACGCCACCAGCCAGGAAAGAAATGTGCCTTCTATCTTATTCTAACAAATGCAAAACAATACAAAACAAACAAACAAAAACTTACACAATAGCAAACAAACAAACAAACAAAGTTCACTTGGACGGGTCATCAGCAACAGTGAGAGACAGTAGCCAAGAAACGGGACCACCACACTCGCGCGTCCCAACAGTAAACGGACACGATAACAACACCTAATTACTGCCTCATCCACTCAGCTCCCTCCAGATTACTTCCTCTGCGCTAATATAAAAGCTTAACGCATTTAATTCCACCCATACAGGTAATCCAAAACACATTATAAACATCTCCGCCTTACCACAGTTGCATCTATCTGCTCTCCGGTACATGAGGATAGCACATGATATATTTAAATGTCTAACTCATATCTTAACACCTGAGGTCATTTTAGCTCATTAGATAATCTGAATTCATAGTTGATTAGATCTTAGCTAATTGGGTTATCGTTAACTAATTCCGGCTTGTTTTTTAGGTAAATTCCCCCGGGTTACGTTAGGCATGGTAGTTACAGTATTAACTCTATGGTTGTTGCACACAGTCTTCAGGCCTCAAGGGATGTAAAAGCGAAATTGGCGTTGCCTCCCTGGTTCGGCTGCCCCCTTAATCCACACTAGTGATAATTCCAATTCGAAAAGATTGGAAGCAAGTTTTGGACAATGGAAATTCCTGAGAAGTCGATGCTTAGTGGTCAGTGGTCACGGCCGGCTTGGATCTCACCAGCTAAGGCCTTAATCAAGACTACTAACACCGGATGAGAAATAGACCCCCAACACACACACACACCAAGTAGGAAATAAAGGACTCCCCAAAAACATCAGATGAGAAACGAGAAATCTCCCACACACTATGTGACCTGGAGGACCTACCAGAATTACTGATGGGTGAGACTGTGGGATACCGCCTTCAGGAGAGACCTACCGACACCACCTGGCACAAGACTGGTTCCCTTATAACTACCGAGAGAACTACCAGAGCCTTAGTTAACTTGCGTGTTTACTCCAGGTGTCTTCTCTTTGTACTGAAAGATTTTATTAATTGACCCACTCCCTTTGTCACCATATGTAACTCTTATCATCTCCATTACATGTTTTAAACCTTTTGGCTGCCATCTTCCTTCAATACGTTAATAGTTATTATTATTAAGATCCTAACTTACCTGATCAAAACGTTATCTAAGGAACACTAACCTACCCTAACCTAACCTAACATACCTGATCAAAACGTTATCTACTGAACACTAACCTAACCTAACCTAACCTAACATACCTGATCAAAACGTTATCTACTGAACACTAACCTAACCTAACCTAACCTAACATACCTGATCAAAACGTTATCTACTGAACACTAACCTAACCTAACCTAACATACCTGATCAAAACGTTATCTAAGGAACACTAACCTACCCTAACCTAACCTAACATACCTGATCAAAACGTTATCTAAGGAACACTAACCTACCCTAACCTAACCTAACATACCTGATCAAAACGTTATCTACTGAACACTAACCTAACCTAACCTAACCTAACCAAATTTAACCCGATTCTCAACTTATCAAACTAAATCTAACTTGGCCTCAACTAATGTAATCCGATTCACCGCACCTAATCTAACTTAAGTCAACTCCCACCACATCTAACCTAACCTTCACCTACAACGTTAAATCAAACCCTCGCCTTACCTAACATAATATACCTTCTATCACCTAATCTTATTTAACCCTCCCTTATCTAATCCATCCTAAGCTAAGCTAACCTAACCTGACCTGACCTAGCCTAACCCTCCCTTATCTAATCTATCCTAAGCTAACCCTCCCTAGTAGAATCTAACCTCACCTAACCCTTTTTATTCTAACCTAATCTAACCTTCATCCTCTCTAATCTAACTTAAAGTAATCCTTCCACATTTGCTCTAACCTAAATGTGCAACAGGACATTGAGTAATTTAAGCTATCAGGCAGGCAGGGTATTTTCCCCACCGGATAACTAACTCTCTGCTGGGGTGTTTCAACATGGGGGAATTTTATTTGTTTTTGAGGGAGGAAAATTTCGTACATGCTAGCGTCACCCCCCCCCCCCTTCTCTTCCAAGCAGTGTGACTCAATCCAGAGAATCTTCACACGTAATTACTGTACATCCTCTCTCACCTACCTCATTTTTATTTACGTTTCACACTTGTACACCACATAACGTAACATGATTCACCTGTGTTCGTGGTTGGTGATGTAACATGATCCACTTGTGTTCGTGGTTGGTGATGTAACATGATCCACCTGTGTTCGTGGTTGGTGATGTAACATGATCCACCTGTGTTCGTGGGTGGTGTTGTGGTAGTGACTCCCTACTGAACCACTCAACAAAATCCTACCACAAATCCCACCAGACAAAATTTCCCCTACCTATGGTTACGGTATTTTCTTCTGCGGTATTCTTTTCTCTTAAGTCAACAGGGTCAGGCCAGGTCGAAAAGCATACCTGACCACAACTCTCACGAAACAAGGGAGAGAAAATAAAATCCTTGAACGATACGAGTGACCTGAGACTACCGTAACGACTGGATACAACGGTCGAAGGTCACCCATGGATAAAGCATATGGAAGTTACTTTTTTCCTAACCTTATAACCTTAATATATACAAAATCCAGGTGTGACATATATACATGCTACATAGTCTTATAGGTTACAGGTAATTCTGAGTCGTAGTGGAGTGAACATATATAAATGATTTCAGGTGAACACATCGCAAAATTAAGGTCATAGGTCAAACATTAGAGGTCAACAAAAGATTAGATTTACTAAGCTTTAGTTGTTTAGGTCAAAGGTCACGCTTGCAGTTCTTTGTGCGGTCAAAGGTCCTGCTAAAATATTCATTAAGGTCGAAGGTCACGCAACAGTCCAACCTAGGGTGCAGGGTGGCGGTGTACTGTACTCCAGGAGGTGGGTGTACAGTACAGTATATGTTGTATCAGTGTTACTATGATGTACAGTTGAAATAATACCATAATTATCATTTTTTTCATCATCATTATGATTACTGTCACCAAAGTATGTATCAATAATAATAATGGTTGCCCCTCAAAATCGAGGATGGCCGCCCCAAGGGCCACCTAGGAGTGAATTTGTTTAAAGCGTAGAAGCTGTCACCAACACCACAACCACACCCCAAGGTAACGAGCTGCATGACCCAGTGTCAAGGAATAGTCCGAGAAGACCGGACAACTCGCCAACTGCACTAGGCGAACCATTACCCCGGAATACGATACGCAAATCGATTAACGTTCAGGTTCCTAATTACTGCTGGGTAGACGGGCAATGGCGTAAAGAAACTTGCCTATAGTATCACCCTTCCCGAGGATCGAATTCGGGTCCGCTCGCTTGCGAGGAGAGGATGCTGACCATTACACCACAAACACAGGCTTACTCATTAAATTTATTACTACCGTCTGCGCCACTAAAAGTAACATAGAAATCGTTGTCAGTAAAACAACACTGTTAATCTCTGTAATATCCCTGACAGCCACAGTACATGACCATCACTAATACTGTCAGTAACTGTTATACTGTCAGGTCATCAACAACACTATAATCCTGTCAGGTTATCAATAAGAGAAACACAGTCATCATCAATGGTAACAATGAAATGGTGTTATATTATCATTAAAAGTATCAATGTAACACTGAGCTAAGCAAAGCCTTCACACTATCTCCTCGCACGCCAGCCTTCACGTCATCAGGGAGAGATAGGAACACTCAAGTTCCCAAGAATGGTAATATATCAAACCCTTCAGATTATCACCCTATATCCCTCACCCTAATAACATATATCTGGAAACGGTAACCAATACAGTACAACACCAGGAAACGACTCACTCAGTAATCGACAGTGTGGCATCTGTAGTGGTGGCTCTGCTCTTGGTCCTCTCTCATTCCTCACACACTTAACCCGCCAGTAGACTACGCGAGCTTTACCCTTACAGTAGCTCTTGACGTTCACAAAACAATGGACAGAACTGGGCATCGAATCTCGCCAGTAAAATTACCCTCGACGGCTTTTCTTACTTTAACTTCTTTTCTGTTCAAGGTGGACGGAAGCCTCTGTCAATATTGCTACATTAATCCCTTAAGGTTCTGTCCATAGGCAAACTGATTGTTTTCTTGTTACACATTAACCACCGTTCAGTGACAAACTACTTAATTCACTCCTGTAGATGATTCAACACTCCCGAGATCCT